GATCGGGGTGTTTTAGTCAATGATTTTATTTTATCGAACAGTTTGATTTTATTTAATAGATTTGATTCATTACCGACTTTCTTTTCTTCGGTGGGAGAAGGTTACACAAATTTGATTATTGGTTCACCTGGAAATGATATTAATGCCTATGAAATGGAAGTTTTGGAGATCGAGGGCCTGAGAGATCATAGATATTTAGCTCTGAATAGTAAACGAGTCTATGATCTTGGGGAGACACAAATTTGATACTCTAATAGTTCGAGGAGAGTTCAGAACTTTTGTCGAAGGATTAAAAATGAGGTTTTTCGATTGCACAGGAAGTTGATCTTGATTGATAATGAAAAGGGTTTGAATGATTTGGTAGACGAGTTAGAATGCATTATAAAAGAAAGACCTGATAAATGTCTTACAATTAAACATAAGAAATATCCTCTTTCTGATTGGTGGACTGAAGATTTGGAAAGAAGTAAAAGAAGAGTTAGAGCATTGAGGAAGAGTTCTCAGGTTGTTACAGTTTCTGAAACTGTCAAAATTGTGAGGAAAATATTGTATAAAAGAGAATTGGCCCGGTATAAGAAGCAGATTAAGCGTGTTAAGTATGAAAGTAGAATGAATCGTTTTATTAATACTGCGAAATATTATGATAGCTTCTTTAAGGTAGCAACCAATAAATTGAAGACTCGTCAGATTTACTGTAGAAAGGATTGCAATCAGATGGAAAATGCTCAGGAGCTTTCAGCTGGAATTATTAAAGAAATTTTGGATTTAGAGGAGGAAGATGATGGTCGGAAAGTGAAGATATTGTGGATTTTAATAGAGGAGGGGAGGAATTTTTGACTTTGTGTAATGAGGCCGATGGTGATTTTACAGAAGATGAAGTCAGGTCAGCAGTGAAGAGACTTAAGAACAAAAGTGCTCCGGGCATTGATAATATAACTTCTTTTATGTTAAAAAGTTTTTCTTAAATTTTACAGGATTTTATTTATTACTATAATGAATGTAAAATTATGTGTATTTCCGCGATCGTGGAAAGTCGACAAAATTATTCTTATACCAAAATAGAGTAAGAAATATATTTCCGATTTGTCTTCTTAAGACACATGCGAAAGTTTTAGATATCTTGATCTCAAATAGATTGAATCACTTTGTTATTAAGAGAAATCTGATATCCGAAAATCAACTTGGATTTAAGAGGGGCTTTTCTGCAGATGATGCTTTGTTTGAACACAGTACTTATATTAGAGAAAAAAGAATAGATGACCATGTCGTCGTGGTATCTTTTGATATCCACAAAGCATTTGATTCTGTGGATTGGCCCTCCCTTCTGCGTGCACTTTCGCAACTTGGAATTCCTCGTGATTGCTATCGTATGATTATAAACTACTTTCCGGATAGAACGATTGGTTTTCCAGTAAGCCAAGCGGCAATTAAAGCTGTCGATGATGCAAGAAACAAATCATCAATAGTGCAAGATATCTACGATTTATTATCACAGCGCAAGAGAACATCTATAAAAATAAAGTGGGTAAAAGCGCATGCTGGACAAGCCCAAAATGAAAGGGCAGATGCGCTTGCTAAAAATGCAGCTCAAGACCCATTTCTACCTCCAATCAATGTCCCATTCCCTAAATCGTATATGAAACATATGTTGAAAAAAATTACATTAAAAAATGGCAAACTGAATGGGAAAATGCAGAAGTAGGTAGAAGGCTTTTTAACTTCTACAAGAAACCCACATATGATCCAATCTCTTATAACTTCTTCATCAACATATTCTTATCTGGACATGGCCCTTTCCCCACGTACTACTTTGCACGAAATTTGAGCGATTCAGACAAGTGCGTATGTGGGGAAAAGGGAGACCCAGAACACTATATTTCAAGTGCCAGCTCACAAAAGAGCTACACTGCAAAGGAAGGTCACAAATTACGCCTGAGTACATTAAATGCATGCTAACGATACCTCAATTACAACAAAAGGTTTCCTTGATTATGAAGAAACTTTTTGCATATAAAAGAGAAGACATATATCAAGATGCTATCACATCTGTATAAATACCTCTTATTCTACAACTTGCAAAAATAATGCAAGATTTCAGAAATATTGCAAGTGTCTGAAACAGGATAAATATGGTATAAATAGTTTTCTTTAAAATAGTTACATTAAGAATTTGGACTGTATTAGTGTAATAATTAAATCATTAATTAATCATTAATTAAAAAATAATATAAATAATATACGACTCTATTAGATATATTAGTGTAAATGTAAGTATTATGTGATTTTCTAATGTATATTTTCTGTTATTTATGATACATTAATTTACAAAAAATAATAATGTAAGACTTCAGTGCTGATGCATTTGTGTGTAACAAGTTAAAAAAATGAAAGGAATGTATTAATAAGAGAATTCGCCTTAGTAATTCAACTAAGTATGATAAAATGCACAAAAAAAAAAAAAAAAAAAAAAAAAAAAAAAAAAAAAAAAATTCAATTAAAAAAATCTTCAATTAGCTCCTTAAAATGATGTTTATTTTAATTCGATGTAACTAGATATACTAATGTAAATATATTGTTTGTATGAAGTACAATGTACAATGAAAGTTTGTATGTATGTTCGAAGTAATTATATTATTTCAATCTGCCATAATCCAACTTTTGTTAATAGGTTAATTTCTTTGCAATAATTATATACTATGTCTTTGTAATTGTATATTCAATACGTAAGTCTAATATTAATGTAAAATTACTATGTAAATGTCTTGGTAGGCTAGCATCCGATGCGGGCCAACTAATAAGCCCAGCGGGGTACAGTAGTGCGGCGGAGCAACACCTGTAAAAGTCACTGACGAAGTTCTGGTGCTCCGTCCACTTTTCCCTGTCCCTGTCCCTGTCCCCGGTTTTCCAGTAAGATCTGATTTGGATAGCTATAGTTACATCAAGATAAAAAAAAGGATGCCCACAGGGGTCGAATAGCTCTTCGCTGCTCTGGAACCTGGTTATTAACGATTTATTACATAAGGAGTTACCTACTAATGCAGATTTATATGCTATTCTGATGATTTAATAGTTTTGATGGCTGAGTCCTCACTTGAGAAGATTGAAAGAACTTTTGCGAAAATTTCGAATATTATAGAAGAATGGCGTTTGAATAGAAAATTGAAATTAAATATTACCAAAACCAAAGCTATGTTCTTCTCGCGGGGAGGTAAACATACTAGATATCCCAGATTGCGATATAAAGGTGAGAAGGTAAAGATAGGAAGGAATTTAAAGTTCCTTGGAGTTATTTTTGATGATAAGTTATCGTTTAAGGATCATTTCGATATGGTACATAAAAAAACGGATACTATTTTACAATTTTATAAGCGATCCTTCTCTGGTGAGATTTTAGCCATTAAAAGTAGGACTATGAAACAAAATTTATGAATGTGTTATTGCTCCTATTATAATGTATGGTGTTGCAGCTTGGGGTTCTAGGGCGGCGGAGTTGCTGAGACTAAGGAACAAATTGAATTCTATCCAGAGAGGCTGGCAATCACAAGACTTTTTAGAACTGCTGCTACAGAAATTGCTAATATACTTGCGGGCATTCCGCCTATCTCGTTGTCCTATGACTTTTATTATAAAAAGTTTTTATTGAGATCAAATAAGATTGACTTTTATACATATACAGATGATATTGTTTTTAACACTGCTTTTTATATTTTTAATTGTCATCTTTTACATCCAAGAAAAAGAAGATCAATAACTTTTAATAGATAGATGCATTACATTATTTAATAATATTGATGTCTATACGGATGGCTCGGGGTTGGAGGGAAAAATTGGCTTAGCATTTGTAGTGTTCTATCATGTACTGGAGACTGAACATGCGAAGTTTAAATTAGAAAAATATAATTCGGTGTATCAAGCCGAACTGATTGCTATACAAAAAGCCTTGGAGTGGCTTGTAAGAAATCTAAATGAATCACATATAATTACAATACATTCTGATTGTCAGTTCTTTAAGCACTCCCTGACCCTGAGCAGCAAAATTTAAATATTCAAATTATTAAAAAATTGGTGATACAATTAGAGATAAGGCATCAATTGAATTTTAATTTTATTAAAGCCCATATTGGTTGTTTGGGCAATGAGAGGGCGGATGTCTTAGCAAAGGAGGCAACAATGAGTAATGATATTGAAACTCTCGATGTACAAGCCTCCATGAGAAGATGCATTAACATTATGAAGTGTGACATTGTAGATAAATGGCGGACTCAATGGAAAAACTCTGCTAAAAATAATATGTTCATGAAGACTTTTGTTCCTAAGGAAAATATGAATATTAACAATGACATTCACTTGAATCAGTTAATTACAGGTCATGGGAGATTTCCCTTTTATCTGAAAAGATTCCATGTTCAAGATAATGATTTATGTAAAGTATATACAAAAGTAGGAGACAATGTCCACTTTATTACAGAATGTAAGTTAACCAGATGCATTGATGGAGCGAACATATATTTTATAAAAAATGGTTTACTTAAGGCAAGAGGAATAGCGCATAAGATTATGAAGATTATTAACAACAATAAAGAAGACATTGGCATTGTGTGATTCGTGTGTTTGTATACTTGTGTGGTGATTTTGTACTGGCGTAGCCCGTATAGGGTCATAGAGCAAACTTTGTTTTGCAAGATGGACCGGGCTGCGCCCTAACAAAACAAAACTATGCAGGAATTATGCGACCTATATAATATATTGCGCTAGGCTGATTTTCTTGTTGCATTACAGCAAACGTTTTCTAGTACTTTCTAACAATTCGAATTACTTCATGATGCTATGTATATTTATTTTTAAGTGTGATCAAAATTCAATAAATACACATAACAAACAACAACAATACAAATATTAAAGCACCAACTCACAAAGAACAACTTAATTATTTTAACATTTAGTTCTTCGGTACTTAAGACAGATAAAGTTTTTATGAACTGAGACATAAATTTACCAACCTGAATAAAAGTCTTTCCGGACACGCACAATAATGCGCCTTGAAGTACGACGTAATCCTCGCACTTTGATTTCATTTGGCTGAATTATAGATTTGGGTATCTTAAGTTTCAAAGGATTGGAAGACTGTTTACATTCTCCAGCTGACTTGCATCCATTGTGTAAGCAAACGTCACTTGTTCCAACATCTGTAGATCGCTTACCTTCTTCAGTTGACTTATATTCATTCTGTATACAAAAACCACTTTTTGCAATATCTGTACATTGCACTGTACACTTTGAGATCTTCAGTCTCAGTTCACCCGTACTCTTACAGTAACTGGAACCGGGCAGATTGTTTTCAATAACAGCTTCATTACATCTGGATTGGTGGCCATTCTGTAATACCTGAAACACTGCTGGATATGGCTGAGAGCGATGACGACCTCTTTTACTTTTTTTGCGACCCATTTCCAATTACTGATATATTAGTCTTTTTCTATACCTAATGCAATGAAACAAAAGTGATTAACTTAAAAATTTAAAAATGCAACAAGATGTACAAATTTGAAAATTTCCACAGAAAAAAAATGCTTCTACAAATTATATATATATATATATATATATATATATGCTAGAACAAAATATAGCTGGTTTAAGAATAATTGGCGATCTCAAAATTAACTATTCTAGATTTGGTGCTCTCCCCCTAAATTCATCTGCCCGCCCAAATTCGAGATCTTTCCCGGTTACATAACATTGCTTGAAAAATGTAATTAAAACTAAAATTAACCAATCATAGCTTGTCTCTACAATTGCATTTACTTCGGTATAAATACCGCTCGCGACTTAATTACGTCTCCAGCTTCGCCACTACTAACATATCCTCACTGCTCTGCTTGTCCGTCTAAAATGATGTCGCCCCCGTTAAACTGTGTATATCAAAAATCATTGTAACTGCTTGTGATCTAGAAGTATATTGTCTACGAAGAATTATTCTAATGTGTCTAGAAATAAAGATGGTAATTAGCTGAACTTGGTTTGGTATTAACATTTTCTTTGCGTCTTGCCACTTTGCCATCACGACTATGTATTAAAATAAATATCACAGCTAAATAAAAGTTGCTCATGATGATATTGCGGTGAGTTTCCCCAATAGGAATTTCGAGCTCCCAACAATTTCCAGTGACTGAGGAAAAGAAAAATAGAAAAGTGATATGAGTACTGTGTTTACTCCAAATCTACTGCGTGGTTTTTCTGCGTCAAGGCCGTGTTTATAGTGAAAAAAGTGATATATTTAAGCGTCTCAGCGATTTCGCGTGTTGGCGCCTACTTTGAAAAGTGTGTACATTTTCTGAAAGATTCTAACGGTGTTTGCGCATATCATCAAATATTCAAGTATGGTGCTTTAATTTTGTTTTTTTCAGAGGTGTAAATTCTTCAGAAAAAATGGCATCATTCTGTAGATTCTTCAGAAATTTCAGTACAAAGTGATTAGTGTGATTTAAATTAGTGATTAGTGTGATTTAAATTAGTGATTAGTGTGATTTAGTTTAGTAATTAATGTGATTTAGTTAGGTAGAATTTTCGTGTTTTGGTGTAATGTGAATTCTCAATAGTGTGTTCTAATATTAGTTATAAAAACTAGATCTAAAACAAAAATGTCTACAGGAAAAAGTGAAATAGCGACTGTTAGTATCAATAAATTTCACTGTGTCATATTTGATGGGCAGAGTTCGGATATTCCAATAGATAAATATATTTTACTATTCGAAAAGAAATATGAAAATAAGAACATTAGCGAAAAGGGCAAGTCGTTAGTGTTTTCTGAGTGTTTGACAGAAAATACCTTGCCATTTTATCTAATAGACTAGAGTATGTCGAATGAGACTGAAAAGCTCTAAAAGACAAATTCCTCGCATAGTTCTCCAGTGGAAAAATTGTCACTTTTAGTGACTTCATTAATTGTACTTACTCTAAATTCATTGACATCTCAAGTATTATCGACAAAAGTTAAAATTGGCATCGACTTTAAAATTAAATGGTAAAATAATATTTGAATCATTGAATAATGGTCTTTTCGAGCAACAGAAAATGTTGCTCACTGTGCAAAATTTAACCAGTCCAAGACTGGATTACCACCGCTAGGAAAACTTTTCCACCAAGTTCTTCTGCATCAGCTTCTGGGAGAAACGCGTAAAACACCAGACTTTACTATTCCAAAGATTAAGTGTACCTCCAAGATTTTTCCAGTCGAGATATAGTTCTCCCAGACAATTTCCGAGATATTGTGTACCTCAAAATCAGGTATGGAGAAATTTGCAACCACGACAAATAGCTTACTCATATCAATCATTACCTTCAAGTTTCTAAAATACAAATTTTCAACAAACTGAACCGAAACAGAAATGAAAATATTTTAAGGTGAATGTTCAATTTAATAATCTAAATATCCCTGCTGTTATAGATACGGGGTCAGAGGTAAATGAAATATCTGAAAAAATATTTTAAATTCTATTGATACTCAAACTGAAATTCTTACCTTAAATCCTAATACAAATTCATTATCTTTATCTGGAGGTTTTGCTGTGACTAAAATAATAAAATTGTTATGTAAAATTGGTCGAATCACTAATACTATAGTATTTTATGTTGTAAATTCTAATTTGACTTATTTATTACTATCATATTCTTGTGTTTCTTTATTTAAATTGCAATTGAATTTTAACAATTATGAAACACACTCATGTCCATAAATTAAGGATAATTCGGAGTCACGCGGAAATCGGACTCTAAAATAAATACATCACCTGTAAAATCACTACACACATCTTCAAGAATCATATGCAAATTTCAGGAAGTAACCAGATGACACCGATGGTACGTCACAATGACGAGAGTGTAAGAGAGTGATATATAAGGAATACAGGCAAAGAAGTAAAATTGTTCACAGGCGCTTTATAAGCATTTCAGTGCAATAACCGAATAGTTATGACACAAATGACGTATTTGGATGACTTTTTACGTGGTAGAATTATCGGCCGTCTGGAATGTGGGCGTACCCAACTGGAAGTATCAGACGAACTTGGAATTGCCCAGAGTGTCATTCCAAGATGATGGTAATGTGAGTAGACGTTACAGCACAGGTCGCCCCAGAGTTACAACGCCGAATGAGGACCGGTATTTGGCAGTTACTGCCAAAAGAAACAGGCGACGCCCAGCCTCAGACCTGTCTCGTCAGCTCTATTCAGCCACTGGTACGACAATTTCAAGGCAGACCGTGTACAGACACTTAGAGCAGATTGGTCTATATGCTCGTAGACCTGTCAGATGCGTTCCATTTACTGCAACTCACTGTCGCCTGCGGTTAGCCTGGAGTAGAGAGCATGCATTGTGGACACCGCGACAGTGGGTTTCTGTGATGTTTTCCGACGAGTCCAGGTCTAGCTTGCAGTCTGATTCTCGCTGGACTTTCATATGGAGAGCTCCAGGTACCCGTTACCACCAAGAAAACATCATTGAACGACACCGTTACGGTGGTGCAGGAGTGCTCGTTTGGGGTGGAATTATTGTGGGTTCCAGAACTGACCTGCATGTTCAAATTGGAACCATGACAATCCAAATCTATCGGGACGTCATTCTGGAACAACATGTACGTTTGTTTCGGGGCGCCATGGGCGCAAAATTTGTGTTTATGGATGACAACGCCCGTCCTCGTCGTGCAAACATCGTAAGCGAATGCCTTCAATCGGAGGATATCATCTGGCCAGCATTCTCACCGGACTTGAATCCAGTAGAGCACGTGTGGGACATGCTTGGCCGACGAGTTGCAACCCGTCAACCTCCTCGTACATGTCTACAGGAACTTCGGAGAGCATTGCTTTTTGAGTGGTGTAATATCCTCCAAGATCAGATCGATAATTTGATACTCAGCATGCCTAGGCGTTGTACGGACTGTATTGCATCGTCTGGGAGACATACAATGTATTAACAATCATAAAAACCATGTAATATTGGTTTTTTGTAAATAGTTTTTTTTTTCTTTTTTTTCTTTTCTTTTTTTTTTTTTTTTTTTTTTTTGTAATTTGCTCCAGGGAGAAAAAATCGCTAATTTTTTTTAATAATATCAAACATATAGCATCTTTTCTTGCTCTTTACCCTTTGTTTAATAAATAAGCTTTACAAATAAGTCAAATTTGTTTTGCTTCTAACTCTTTCTTTGCCTGATTTTGCATTATCCTTAATTTATGGACATGAGTGTACATGTTAATCATTTTACTGTACATACTGATCATGCTGCTTTAGTGTGGCTTAAGAATGTTAAACATCCTACAGGTAGGTTATTCAGATGGTCTTTGAAATTATCTATGTATGCGTTAATACAAAAAAGGTTCTAAGATATTAAATACTAAAAAGGTTCTAATAATGTTGAAGCTGATATGTTAACTAGAAATCCTATTTGTCAACATTTAAGTTTGCAAGTTAATTTATTATCATTAGAAGAAATTAAAGAACATCAAAATTTAGATCTATACTAATTAAATATATGTCTGTAGTCCTAAATATAAGAAAATTAATGATTCGTTAACTATTAAAAAGCAAGGGTTATATAAAATTGTAATACCCATATTCTTCGTACTAAATTACTTAAGAAAGCTCATCTTAATTTTGGTCATACTGTTGTTGTTCTCAATGCTAAATTTATTATCTCCTCAATACTACTGGCCAGGAATTGTCCAAGATGTCAGAAATTATTGTAAACATTGTGAAGTATGTCAAATTAATAGGAAAAGTAAACAAAAAATATTTGGGTTAATGCAAGCTTTACCATCTGTTAGCGAACCTTTTGAAATATTGTCTATTGATATTGCTGGTGGTTTAAATTATTATAATTTTTCTAAAAAGTAGATTCACATTGTTATCGATCATGCGATACGACATATAGGGACATTTGCTTCTAAAAGTGTAACTACTGATATTTAACAAGACAGATTTTTCAAGTTCAAGTACCAAAGAAAATTTTAGGTGATAGAATTGTTGCTTTTACTTCTTCAAAATTTAAGCACTTTAAAAAAAATCATTATGTAAAACAATTATTAACTACTGCTGATAGGCCTCAAACTAATCAATGGTAAAGTTGAACGAGTTAATCAGACTAGATATAACTAGACTATAACTTGACTAAAACGAAATATAGAAATATACTATAACTAGACTAAAACGTAAATTTAATTCTTATCAAGAACAAAATTATTACATCAGGTTGCTGAAGAATATAATAATACACCTCATTCTGTAACAAAATTCCCACCAACCTATTTAATGTATGGAAAATTACCTTATGATTTCCCTACTTCAAAATCAAGAATTATATCCACCAATTGAAGAAGCTAGAAAAAATTGTTAAAAAGAAAAATATGATGATTATCATAATGTAAATAAAGAAAGATATGATACCTATTATAAACTCAGTAATTTTAAAATAGGTGATCTAGTAATGTATGA